GGGCTGGAGGTGAGGCCGGTGGGTGGATGGTGTACGAAAGAACTCTTTGCAAGACTGACTCAGATCGCTTGTAGTAGCTGTGCGACCTGGCGCAGCAGCGTTGCGGCCCCTCCACGCGTGGCCGGCTCTCGCTCTGCAGCCTCCCAAGCCGGACTCGGAGGGTGGGTGGTACCGAGCAGCTGTAGGGTTTGCGCCACCCACCTGGTCGCGCTTCCACACAGCTCCGAGGTCCGAAGCGACCCGACCAACCTGGGCACTCGTCCAGCCATGGCCTCCCTGTCTCTTCACGGGGTCCCTCTAGAGCGGCCCTGGGGTCATCAGAGTCGGGCATGCCCTACTCCCCGAAACACACCTGCAGAAATGCGTCTTTGTGCAGCTGTGGGAGCTGGCCACCTCCGAACGAGCACTGCAGCAAAGTTCAATCGCCAAGGCCTTAGGCATTGTGCAAGGTGGTGTCCAGTTTCACTGGGAGAGGGAGAGCTTTTTTTTCTTTTGAAGCTTGAGAGAATCTCCCTGTCCTGTCACAGGACACCACTGCTGCTGCAAACCAAAATAAACTGTTACCAAAAAAAAAAAAAACCAACAACCCCCCCAAAAAAACCATGTTAGGCCATGCTGTTCTTGCTGCGAAGTTTACAACAAACTCTGCAAAGGGTTGCAGGACACTCAGTGCTCTTGGTGCAGCTGAGATCTCTGTGGAGCCCAGGTCCTGGAGCTCTAGGCTGGGTTGAGGGAAGACCCCCTGCTGCATCCTGGCAGGGGTAATGGGGAAGCCAGTGTGGGTAAGGTGAGCACGCATGCAACTGGACCAGGCAGGGGAGCGGGGGCTAACAGGGGTTCTTGGCTGACCTCTGGAAAATGTTCTCTGAAAGTGTAGCAAGTTGCTGGTCAGAGCTGCAGAGGGACTAGATCAAAGACAATTTAAAATTTTCTCCTGGCTGAAACAGTATCCCAGGCTATGGTCTTCACATTGACTCCCCAGGTCATGGAAGCACTCTGGTTCGGGAATTTACAATTGAATGGCCTGGTGAGAGTGGAGTTTCCACCACACACCTCTCTCTGGAGAAATGATGCTGCCCCTAGCTGCAGAAAGGACTGGAATGCAAGCACCCAGATCATTGAGTCCTAGGCATAGCTGACCTGGGCAGAGCACGACCACAGACTCCTCCCGACCCTGGGAAGGGCTGGTCACTTGCCCCTCCTGGTACCCAAGTGGCCAGGTTAGGGTCCTGGGCCCCAGACTGGTCTGGTTCTCCTTGCATGCCTAGGCCAAAATGCAGGTTTTTTAACTCCTGAGGCTTGTGTACCCATGCTGAGTTCCAAAGCTGCACTTCAGAGATACGCTTGTTCAGGCTCAGGCTTGGGATCTTGCCCTTCCTCCACTGGGTGACCTTAGCCAAGACGCTGGTCTTCTGGGTGTCCCAGCTTCCAGGGGTTAAACCTAGGGTGACCCCATTCCCAGGCCTGGTAGGAGCATCTGGCCAGGGCCTGTCTCTTCATTAGAGTGGAAGGTTCTCTGGTAACTACTCTGAAATAACGCCAAGGTCCCAACCCTTGTAACACCTGGGCTAATAAGGTGTCTTTCTTGTCCCATGGCGTTACATCCAAAGCAGCTGGAAAAGTTAGTAGTACTGACAAAAAGCTGTAGGAAAGGACACCAAGTGGACACATCTCTGAGTTCTCTCAGTAAGTGCACTTGGGCTGTGTCACTTTAGAAAACTATTGGCCAGGTCGCTCAGCTGGTTAGAACCTCGTCAGATGTGCCAAGGTTGCAGGTTCCATCCCCGATCAGGGCACGTACATCACTCAGTGAATGCATGGGTAAGTGGAACAACAAATCCATGTTCCTCTCTCCCCCTCTCCCTTCCCCTCTCTCTCTCTAAAATCAATAATAATAATAATAACAATAAAACTATTGAAATTCCCCACTTGATAGATAGGCAGTTGGGTCCTGGGAGCAGGAGTACGACTTGCCTTTAAAGGAACGGCCAATCCCAGAGGATGGGGGGGAGAGGAAAAAAAGAGAAAGCCTGTGTTTTGAGTCCAGACTAGGCCTGATCTGCACTGTGTGGAGCCAGGACACCTTCCTGGACACCAGAGAGCAGCAGCCCCCGCCCACCACGTACCTTCCAGCTCCCTGTTGCTCTGGGGTTGGGGCCTGTCCTGGCTCACCACAGCGCCAGTCCCTGCTCAACTCAGGAGGACCCGTGAGAACTCTAGGGAAACCTGCAGGTAGGACATTCAGAGGGGAACCTTGGCTCCTCCTTGACCCAGGCTGCCTAGCCCCCAGCCCCGGAGTTGCTTTCCCAGGTTATCTGCTTACCAGGTAGTACAGAAAGGGAGATGCCTGTGCAGTTGCTGAGAGCCAGGCCCCAGCAGAGACTTTCTGGAGTTGCTTGGGGTCCATGTGAGGCTGCTCAGTGCTCTTCTGAACTGAGTCCACTGAGCATCCTGAACCTGACTTTCTTCCTCCTGGCGTTCAGGGCTCTGAGTTTGGTTCAGGGGTGGGAGGTCTGTTCATCCCCGGACTTGGTGGCTAAATAGGCTGCTGTACCCAGGCCATGCCATTTCTCAACTGAATGCAGGCTTTAGAAAATAAAAATTTAAGAAGTCTCTAATTTGCAAGGTTTCATGCAGCTTCCCCAGTCTCTTGCCCAAAAATGCAGGACTTCAGAACCACCGGAGCTCTGTAAACAAGAGCCCTTTAAAAAAAAATCTCCAGACTAAATATTCTCAGACATACACTTAATCCCTGATGAAAGGATCCACAAATTCAAATAATTTGGGTTATTAAGTAAGGCTTGGATAAAATCTGCTGGGAAAACCCTCACAAATCCCAGCCTCCCAGGGCTTGCAATTCTAAACTTAAAGGGTAAGGGTGGGTTCTGCAGGAGCCCTTTGCTAATTTACACTAATGAGTGTCAATTATGGCATTTTGCAAATTGGTGATTTTGCAAACAAAGATATAATACAGCCCAGGAGGCTGTAGGGTCCTTGCACAGGCTATGAAAGCCTATTTGACTCCAGCCCTGATAATCTCCATGCCTTCTGGGAAGTGCTGGAGAGAAAGCTGGCCCTTGTCCTGCCCTCTGGGGACTCCCAGGTAGGAAGCCAGCCAGGATTCTTTTGTGGTTGCCTGGGCTTAAGGTAAATGAGCCAAGAAGACTGCAAGTGGGGGAGGGCAGGATCCCCAGGAGATCACTGGTGGCTCCTGGGATGAGGCCAGTGGCAGAGGAGGGAGGAGAGGGACCCTAGAGCCTCCTTATTTCCCCTCCCCCTTTCTGAGTAGGGAAGGCTTTCTCATTTGGCTTTGGAGGAGTCACTTTTGCAAAGAATAACTGGGAACCTCAGTACCTTTGACTGAAATAGTTCTCTCCTGTGATTAACACCCTTTATCTTAAGAAATCTGAGCAGGGGCTGCTTATTGTAATTTTCCCACTCTCCCTCCTAAGTCCATCTCCCCACAGGTTCTCTTGGCCTCTGGCCCTGTGCAAGTTGAGCCCGAGCCCACCAGATCTCACTGTGCTGCCCAAGGGGGGAGGTCTTTGCCAGGACACACCAGTGGCTCATCCCATCGCTCTCCACCCTACCCTCGTTCCACCATTGTTTCCTCAGCTGCACACCCAGATATGTGTGTGTCTCAGGCCTGGCAGGACTGTAACAAGCCACCTTGTACTTGTCACCTCCTGCAGGGAAACCGGTCAGCCTGAGCTACAGATGTCCTTGCCGATTCTTCGAGAGCCACGTTGCAAGAGCCAACGTCAAGCATCTCAAAATCCTCAACACTCCAAACTGTGCCCTTCAGATCGTGTAAGTCTGAGCATTATCGGGAATGTTGCATTTAATGGGCATAGTAGCACGTAACGGGCACGCTCCGTGGAGCTAGAGAAAGGACACCAGCCAAGTGTCCAGCCTTGAACTTGGCACAGAGGCTTGTACCACCAGGCAGAAGCTTCCAGAGCCACGCTTCCCTTCAGGGCCTTGCTGTGCTTACAGTGGTCCTTCCCTCTTCTTTCCAAGCCTCCCCCTCGGCACAGGAAGTGGCCACGCAATGGGATGCTTCCCCAGACTAGAGAAACGCTGACGTCACCAAAGCTTGTGCCCGAGTTCAGTACCCTAGCCAGTCCTTTCCTGGTACTGTTCTGTCCTGCCTGTTTCGGGGCTTTGGTATTATAAGTTAGTCCTTCCTCAGGGAGCACAAACTCACAAGACCCAAATCCAGTTGAGGTTATCTTTAACTATTATCAGCTCGTAGCTGCATTTTCTCAAGTACAACACATGAGTTTTAGGTTTTGCTGGTGCTAACATTTTATTTCATTCATGTGGGAAATGAGACAAACCAAAATCACACATACATGAGACTAAGATCTGTGGCCTACTGCGCAGAGGGCCGGACGAGGTGTGGGAGAAAGCCACGGTGGCTGTCCACTGCTGGCCATTCTGTGCGCCCGTGCCAGTGAGCATAAGCGTGTCTAGGCTCCAGGGAGGTGACTCGAGGGGTCCCCTGGGGAGAGCTCACCTCCTGCAGAGTCCCAGTGCTAGAAACAGATGGGGACACAGAAGTTACAATAAAAACTGCAACTTCCTAAAGACTTTTCTGCACAACACCAACTGTTTTTAGGTTTGGTTTTCCTTGGTGTGTTGTATTTTTTTGTGGGTTTTTTTTGTTTGTTTTTTTCTAGCCTTTGATGCCTTGATGTGCTTACAGATGTTTTAGGGCCTAGAAGATGAATGTTTTTATTTACTTTGCTTATAATAAAATGCTATCTGTCCGTTGGGAGGTGCTTTATCAGGGTTTGAATTTAGCTAGTATGGGCCAGCTTTATAGTACGGATTATGCTGGTTCACCTGCCCAGGAATGCACCTGGAAGGTGAGAAGCCAGATGCAATTCTCAGGCCGGGGCAAACACAGAATTGGTACACAGTGGTCCCCAGATCTGAACCCCCATCCACTCTGCCTCTAGGCTTACTTTTATTTCTCTCTTCCATGTACTATCAAGATGATTCACCAAAATAAAAATCTGCTTGTTTCTCTCCAGTTATAATCCTCACAAGGTCCCACAATCTTGCAGATAAAGTCCTGCGCTTTGCCCCTGCATCTGGCACAGGCTTCGTGAGCATCCCGTCTCCTGCGGTTCCCTCCCAGGCTGTTCTCTTACCCTCCGGTGTATTTACACTCGGTTCCTCCTCCCCGTTTGCCCGGCTCCTACTTCAAGCTGCAGTGCGGATGATTCCTACGGGGGTTCTGGGCCAAGCAGGCGCCTGGCTGCGGGAGGGTCCCGCGTGGGTGCGGGGAGCCGATGTGCAGGTCTCAGCAGAGCTTCCTCCCGCGCTGCACACGCGGCCTCTCCTGTCGTTGCAGGGCCAAGCTGAAGAGCAACAACCGCCAAGTGTGCATTGACCCGAAACTGAAGTGGATTCAGGAATACCTGGATAAAGCTTTAAACAAGTAAGCACAACAGCCAGAAAGGACTTTCCACTAGAGCCACTGGAGGGAAGCTAAGACTGTGTGGAAGTCCTGAGAGGGCAGAGGCGTGGGGGAGGACGGCCGGCGCGGGGGGGCCAGGCTGCTCCTGGCAGCGCGTCGCCCGGGAGCGGGCGGGAGGCCGGCCGGCATGTAGACGTCCGCATTTATAGCCTATGGTACGATATCACAGCTTATATTCATTCACCCGGACCCTTGCACATTGGCTGCTTTACAACTGGGGTTTCTCTAAGAAATTGTATTATCCCAGCAGCATCTCCCACCAGCCACTTCCCCGTGATCTTCACAGTCATCATCATTCCCATTACCCTTTTTTAAATCGATGGTTACTTTAATATCTGTATTTGGTTTGCTTTGGATTTTTTTCCCTCTTCTCCCCTGGGGAGTCTGAGCGCAGTCAGGCGATGGCCATGCATGGAGCTAAAAAAAGTGTCCCTCCTCCAGAAGCTGAGGCCTGGAGGCCGATGTGGGTGGGTCTCTTGGGGCGCACCCTTCCTGCAGGGCAGCCGTCAGATACTGACCACACTGGGCAGCTGCCAGCACCCCCTCTTTCAAGCTCCGCAAATGGACCTGCGGGCTCCAGGCGGAAGCCATCGCTGGGACTGTGCTGAGACCCTCCCCAGCCACCCGCCTGTCTGCCTGCAAGAGCATGCTTTCCCCTCGCTTCCGCTCCCCGCTCTGCTCAGGGAGGAAGGTGGGCCTTGGGGCTGCAGCCCGCAGCCCCCTCCTCCCTTGCCGTCCTCCTGCTCAGGCCCTCTGTGAGACTCGGCTCCGCCTCCCCCAGAGCGGGGCTGGCCTCCTCCTGGGGCGTGGAGACCATGTCTCCACCTTCCCACGGAAGACCTGTCTCTGCAAAGTCAAAAGTAATTTCAGTCTGAGAGCTTCTCAGAGGAATTCGGTTTCTGTGATTGCCTCTGAGGCCTGTGTGTGCCCCGGGGGCTCTACAAATGCTAAGTTTTCTGAAATCTGAGGTGAACAATTAAGTGAATAAACAAGCCTCTTGCCACTAACTCCTGCTCCAGAAGCCACAACAGCCACAATCAGATATGCTGGCAAAGTGAAATTTCCACCCATAAATGTGATCCACAGACGGGCCTGGTGGTATTTGTAACTTTTTGCAAGGCATTTTTTTATATATTTTTGTGCACAATTTTTTAAACATTTCTCTATAAAACAAATGTATTTCAGAATATATTTATAGTCGAACAATTCATACGTTTGAAGTGGAGCCATATGAATGTCAGTAGGTACATTTCTCTATTACCTGAAACTACTGGCAGTTTGTAAAGAAATACACAGAAATGTGATTGCAGCTTTTGAATGTTGGCCACAGTGTATTTTTTCACTTGTACTAAAATTGTATCAAATGTGACATTATATGCACTAGCAATAAAATGCTAATTGTTTCATGGTACAAACGTCCTACTGTATGTGGGAATTTATTTACCCGAAGTAAAACCCATTAGTTGTTGGATGTGGAGCTCTTGCACATTTCCTGAGTTTGTGAAGATACGCTGGCCCACTGGTCAGGTGCCTTAGGTCCCTCCTGCCGAGTTCACGTGAGTAACAGCACGTGGGCCTTGCTCAGGAGCAAGTGAGATCTGCAACTCAAGTTTTTGCGGTTTTTTTTTGTTTTGTTTTTTAACCCAATGGAGGCAGCAGTGCTAGTTTTCTGAAGAATAATATTTGACTCACTAATTCCTGTTCCCCTTCCTTCGCCTCAGTTCTCCTAACATCCCCATGTAATCCCTAGAGACTCAACCCTTATCATACATGCTCTCACATTTTCCCACGTAAAACCCCATAATTCCAGCCCATGGTTAATACCGAGCTTTCTCAGGAACAGGTGGCCTTATCCCATAAATCATTAAATACCATTCAGCTTGAATCATTCTAATGTGACAGTCCCAAGCCAGTTACTCTAATAAAATTCCGCTAACCAGCTCTCTCCCGCACTCTTCAGAACAATCTCAGCCATTCCCAGGGGGTTCCCAGGGGGTCCCCACAGCATCCACTAAGGAGCAGGTGGGAAGAGGCTGCCTTCTCCTAACCTGGATGGCCTTCTAACCTCTGGCCTCTATTTCAACGCAGAGATTTTTTTACTAAAACAGAGTTGGACTCTGCATTGAGAAGAAAGGAGGCCTGGGAAAGCAGGTGGGGCAGGACAGAGATCCAGCCCAGCCTGGCCCTGGCTGCCTTCACACCCTTTTAGATGTGAAATCCTTTCCCCACTGGAAGCCTCAGGCAACAGCGGGAGCCAGGGTCAAGCTGGCAAATTGGCGATGGCTGTACGCAGTCCACAAGTGTTGTGGAAGCCTGGCTAACGTATTTTGTTGTTGTTAGCCTTTTTTTTTTAATTCAAGGCAAACGTCTAGTTTATTTTAATGAGTTACTGATGTACAGTGCTTTGCCCAGGGGCCTCCAGGCCTGAGACTGAAGACAGAGTGAAACCAATACATGGGCCAGTGTTAAATATTGTGCAGACTGAGACAGACTCTTGTTTATTTTCAACATTATTAATGGTTCTACTAATTTTATCGAAGGGGGCGCAGAGAAGAAAAAATGGGGAAAAAAGAAAAGATAGGAAAAAAGAAGCGACAGAAGAAGAGAAAGGCTGCTCAGAGAAGCAAAAACTAGTTGTCTGCCGTCGCGATGGACCGCAGTGCACTGTTCTGTCTCTCCCAGCGCTTTGTAAATTGGCTCTAAACCTCCCCCTGCCTCCTGGGGGCCTCGCAGACTCCGAGGGGGAGCAGCGCTTTGCCGCCGCTGTGGCCACACTGGCCCCTGCATTTATGTGCTTATTGAGGTCATTCCTGGTCTGCTAAATTATGAAGAAAGTAGTTGTGCAGAGACTGGGGTTGGGGTCTGGGGCATGGAGACCGTGCTCAGGACTCTGTAGAGCAGCTCTGACTCTAGACTGACCCAGGCTTCTATCTGGAGGGACCTGGGACCCGGTCCTCGGCCCGGATTTCTGAGTCTCCCGCCTGCCCTCACTCCCTCTCTTAGAAGGGCCCTGAGCACGCCGGAGCTCACACGGCTCCGTGCGCCCACGGTCTGCCTTCCTGTCTGAGACCAGCAGTGACTGCCTGGCCACCACGCAGAGCCTCGGCCAGCAGAGGGCATGTGCCTTGTGCCTTCTCATTTGCTACCAGGGCTGCTGCCCATCCAGCCCTTCTTGGGGCAGAACTGGCCGCGGCCATTCCACTTGCAGGTAATAACTGGCTCCTTTTCCCAAGTGTCCTTTGCCTGGCCCACCTCTACCTCTGCTGCGTGGGGTGGGACCCCTCCAGCCGCCTCCCCAAGCCTGGGCTGTGGGAGCGGCTTCCCCTCCCAGCTCTGTAGGTCCTGGAGACCGTGTGGCAGAGCGGGTGTGAGCTCTGCTCCCCAGCGGGCAGGTGCGCGGTGCTTCTCAGGGAGCCTCTGCTCTGCGTCGTTCACTCTGTAGATTCGTTACGTGGGTCCCACGATGTGGAGGCGCTTTGCGAAGGGCCTGCAGCTCTGGGACTCCCCGTCCACCCCTCCCTCTCCTTCTGGAAGAGTCTCCATGACCCTGCAGTTAGGTGGCAGGACACAGCTGCTTCAGTTCTCACTCATGGAAAAATCTGCTTAAAGTGACAAAATCCTAGACCTCCCCTCACTGCCTTCCCTGCAGCATTATGTCTGCGGTTTCTTGCCAAGTCTCTCTAATTTGGACCGGAAGGAGGGGTCACTGGGGAGAGCGAGGCCCCAGCGTCAGGAGTGCTTTGAAAAGGATGCCTTCACATCTCCCCTTCTGGCGACCCCAGAACACATAAACATACCCCGCACCCCGGGCCCCTGGTCATAATCTTAGTGCGTGCATCCAGGAAGATGGAGGCGATGGAGGCCACAGCTGATGGATTTCGGGAGAAGAGAGCTCAAGGTCCCTGCATGTCAGACTCGCCTGTCACACATGCCCCGTCCCCTCGTGCTCTAATGTGCCCCTTGTGGTTACAGCATAGAGCATACAGCCCTCCTTTCGCCACCGGAGAAGTGTCCTGCTAGAGCCCCGCAGCCAAAGACCTTTGTTTCCACTGCAATCCCTTTAGCTGGGGAAGGCCCCAGCCTGAGCGCCTGTTGCCAGCACTGGGGCTGGCAGGCCCGTTCCTGGGGGCTCACATCTTCCATCACCCACTCTGCCCTCCTGCCTCTGAGGCATCGGCTGTCAGCTGGCCAGCCCAGGGCTGCGTCCTCCCAGCCAAAGCCCGGCAGGCCTGGTCCGAGGGAGCCTGGCTGGACTCTTCCTAACTTACAAATGCACCAGGGAGAAGGGCAGGCCTGTGCCCCACGCTGTCCTTCACTCTTTACACGGTAGGAGCAGCCTTCTCTGCCTAGACAGGGTGGCAGGTCCCCCCTGGCACCAGGGATAGCTGGCTGCCCTCCAGCAGCAGATCAAGCTGTTGCCCACCTGAGGTGACAAACTGCTTTCTGCAGTGCTCAGGAGGACAGTGCCCCCCACCTGTCCTGGAGGAGAGGGGCCTGCAGGGACTAAGAGCTGGCCTGGTGTTAGGATGCCCAGGCCAGCATTGTCCCATCCTTTCACGGCCCTGCTGGCCCTGGGCTTCACTGTGTCTGACAGGCAGGTATAGCCCTAGCCTGGCTGAAGGGTCCTGGGTCGCTGGGGAAGAGCTGAAGAGCCGGACCTCAATGCCGTGCTGGGTTGGCACTGGGCAGAGTTCATGTGTCTGTACCAGGTGAGTGGTGTGTGAGGCCACCCCTACACCAGCCCCAGGGCCGGCCCTGGTCTGTCCACTGAGAGGTCCTGGGGCAACTGGGCGGGGGCAAAGGTGGAAGCATTGGGTGGTGCCAAGGCTCTGGACCAGCCGGCAGCCTGCTCCAGGCTCCGTGTGGCAAAGACAGCGCACCCTGTCCTGCCATGTGACCACTGTGCCAGGCTGGCTCCATGCCCTCACTCATCTGCTATGACCCATGCTTGCTGCACCGTCTGTCCTCTCCACTTCCCACCTTCCTTCCATCCCTCTGCTTCGCCCATGCTGTCTCTCTCTCCCCCCCTCCCCAGGGCTCAGAAGGGAGACACCGCGCCATGGAGACTTGGAATCCAGAGGCCAGGAGTGGGGCCTTGCTGGAGTGGGCTTGGCATCTCAGTGTGAGCCTGGCCACCGCGGGAACCTGCCTAATGGTGTCTCCCTCTCTTCCTTTTAACAGGAGGCTCAAGATGTGAGAGGCGCAGGCTGGGTCAGCCGCCTGAGGAAGCCTTACTGTGGGAGGCCGGGCTGAAGCCAGTGTTAGGAGGGGCCCCAGAGGTCTCCTTGCGCAGCCCGGGCAGGGCCGGATGTGCTTCCCAGGGCTTTGTTTTGCACAATTTGCCTTATTTTCACCATTTGATTATGTAGCAAAATATATTCTTCCTTTTTTTCATGTAGCCTGATTATCCAATGTCACTGGTGACAAATAGGAACTTAGACTAAAACCATTATTTTACTTGCTTTGTTATAATATGCTCACCATGGAGCCCCTGGTCTGACCGGGGTTCTTGAGTGTTATATTTTTCTGAGCTGCACAGGCTGGCTCCCCAGGCTCAGGCAGCCTCCCCCACACAGCCCTGTCCTGAGGTGGGAGTCACCAGAAGGGGTCAGGAGCCAGCAGCGCAGGCAGACCCCCTGAAGCTGGCCCTAGGCAGCAGGGTGGGGGGCCAGGTCCCGGGGGGGCCAGGCAGCGGGCTTCCCTGAGCCGGGGCAGCAGGCGGGAGGCCAGGGCAGGGCCTCATCCCGTGCTCTCCTCTGCATCTCATCATGTTCTCCTCACATCCTCTCTCTCATCCATCACCATGTGCATCTGAGACTGTCTCCATGACCCCGGGAAAGGACTCTCTCAAGACTAAAGCTTTCATTTTAACTGGGCACCAAGAAGCAAACCAAAATGTGCTGTGCTTCAGGCCCTGGAAACACTGTGCGCAGCGTGTCTGGTCTGGAATACTGTCTCTTGTCTGATCCTGTTTCTCGTTCCAAGTCAATGTCCTTGGTGCTGCCTTGTAAGTCCCTCGTGTGCAGAGGCTGAGCGAGCAGCTGTCCTTGGGCCTTCGGCCTGGCCCCTGATCAGGGCTGTGGCAATTTGGGGTGGTTGACCATGTTTTCTCCACTGATCACAAAGCCCAGGTGGATCAGCAGAGCCCAAGGGAATTCAGTTTGCAGTATGGACCTCTGGGGACACTGACCCTCAGCCTTTCCATAGATGTTGATATCAGAACTATAGACAGTTTTGTCTTTACTGTTCAAGCCCAGCAAAACCAAGAAAAGAATTCTTAACTTTTTTTGGTTTTGAAAACCCAATCTCTAAAATAGTTAATCCTGGGTATTTTTTTTTCCTTATTAAAACCTAACCTCATCTTCTCACTGTTTGGCAATCCCATCCCCTCTCACCTGCACGGTGACCTGGGCCTCTTCTGCTGCTGTTCCCTGCGTGCCCAGGATGTCCGGCCCGGCCTTCCTCCAAGACAGGGACGGGACACATGGGAGAGCTGGTTAAGAGCCCTGATGTCTGGGATGTTTCCCTTTACTGAGAGCAGTTTGTAGAGTTAGTTACAGTAGACAATTTAAAATTTCACTTTTTAGAAAGGCAGGCACTGAGGGGCTTTTGCTTGTTTTGTTTTGTATTCAGTCTCACTAATACTTTTCCCCTTTGATTAAAGATCCAAGAAAGGTTTTAAAATTAGGAAAGTGGAAAAAGGGAAGGGCAGAACAAGGGAAGGTATCAATTGACAGGCCACTGCAAGCAACACGCAGAAAGTACGTTACAGTGAAATGACCTCGAATTCTAGGTGTTTGCAGATTTAATAATCTTTGGGTTACCAGGAGCATGAGTTAGGCATTTCCGTAAGTAGTTCTTAAAAGTGAGTCTTCATGGTAGAAAGCCATTCTGTCAGCCAACCAAGTAGTCACATCCTCTAACCAGATGTGTTATATTGAAAACATAGGAGGGGGGACCTTTATTAGTTATAAGGGATACAGAACTAGTTTCAATACCTTCTTTGAAAATTAACCTGTCGCTGCAGGGCCGCTGAATTATACATGAAATTATTTAACTTTCAGTGGGCGAGTCATTTTCCAGGTAATCCAAGATATTTGAAAATCTCATGGAGAATTTGGAAACATCTTCCTCTGCGATCCATGAACCAGAGCCACTGAATCTCTGACTCCAAGGAAATAAACATGCCCCTAAATCTTGACTACAGTTAAATATAAAATTATTTTTGTTTCTCTCCATAGGAGAAAAAAATAGGTAAGGGTAGAAACTGCAGGAAAAATTATTTGTGTAACAATTTCTCTACCTGCAATGTGCTCCTAAAAGGAAGCTTCCCAGCTAAAGCAGATATGCACTTAAATAGTTCATTTGCAAAGGAAAAGGCTCTTCCTGTTGCTTTCAAAATACAAGTCAAATGAGTCAGGTGATAAGGGTCACCCAGCCGTTCCTCCTGGTCCAGGGCTGCTTATCCTCTACCTGACCTTCCCTTGGGCTCAGCGTCACCCCAGGGCAGTCCTTCGCTGCCAGCCTTTGCATCACGCTGGGGTGGGCTGGGGGGACTGGGGCTCACAGGTGTGCTGTGTGTTGTTTGTATTGTTCTTTGTCCTGCTCTGGCCAGATGCCAAGACCCCAGCGAGGAAGCTCAGGAGGACCCCCTGCTTGTCCGAGCAGAGGGCCTGCATAGCAAAAGGCCGCAGCAGCCCCTGTGCGAGTCCAGAGGGAGATGGGATTGCACCTTTCTTTCCCGAGTCCTGCCTGGTGTGACAGCCATGGGCTCCCTCACTGGGACTTCATTACCCTTCTCAGGGATGTGCCCTTCTGCAGCTGGATGAGAACTGCAAGGTCCTAGTCCCCTTACACATCTCCCCTGACCCATTCTGAGGGAACCCCATCCTTGGGGATCACCCCAGGAGCATCCATGTCCTTTCAGCACACCACTGACGTACCCAAGTTGAACACCCCACAGGAAACTTGTTATTCCCCAACCTCGCTGGACTCTCGGCCTCTGAGCAGTGACAGTTCAGTGTTCAATGTGATAAATACTGTATTTCCTGTTGTGCAAATTGCATCTCCCAGATAATGTGAAACGGTCCAGGAGAAGGCAGCTTCCTGTATGCAGTGTGCTTTTTTAATAAGTAACAATTCCTTTTGAGAAACAATTTCTACTTTCATATCAATGAAAAGATGTACTGTATATGCACTTACAATTGTTCTAATAAAGACATGTATTCAAATGTAGCAACCAACTGGGTTGAAATTAGTATTAGCATTTGGAATTTCCCAGACTTGGCTTTTGATCCTCAGACCTGAGGGGTATATAATTCTAGCTGCAGTGGTTAGTGCAAAACAGGCCATTGTGATGTTAAACACAAGCAAGAATTCTGGGAGCATACCTGCCCCTGCTAGGCCACTGATCCTGAGCAGGAAACGGTGCACCATTTTCCCCAGATGTCCTTGGTTTTGCTGGACTCCCTTCTTAAAGACAAGACAGAGCTCGCTCCAGAAGGGATGGTTTTGTGCAAGGGCCCAAGTGTCTGCCAACAGCTGTTAGGAAGGAGACCTCCCCTCTGTACTTGTCGGGCTTAGTGGAAGACAAACGGAGGCCATCCCTGAAGGCACCAGCACTCTCAGGATCCAGCACTCTGTGCCTTTCTGTCTTGCACTGGGGCCCTTCTTAGAGCCAGGCACTGGTTCTCTCGACTGCTAACCCCAGCACTATCCTGGACACTGAACAGGGCTGAGCCAGACAGAGAGAGCTCCATCCCCACAGGTCAGCCCTTTCACACTTTCTACCACATTCTCCCTGGTTCACAGTCAACCCTGTACAAACACCACACATTTCTGAATCCAGGTTGTTCCGGCCACCGGACTCTCTTGCCCACAAGCTCAAACGTGACCACCTCACCACTGTGCCCAGAAACTCCCTGGTATGTACAAGGTGACCACAATGTGGTTGCTGAGTTGCAGATGGACTGGAGGAAGAGAGGATGATTGGAGAAGGCCTCAGTGAGCGGCATCATGGTGTCCTGAGACAGCGTGGGTATGAAGGTAGTAGGCCGCTCTTACTGGTCTCTGCTCATTCTGGGAGTTGAGACACACCCCTTGCCCTGAGTCTCTATCTTCCCAGCTACGACCCTAAGCTTAGGATCCCAGGAGACATGCAGATTCGCCTGGAATGATGTACGGGGGAGCGCTTTTCTTGCTCTCTCAACCTGCTGCTCTCTATGGCCCACAGAGCTGGACTCAGTTCACCTGCCTCTATGTAGAACTGCAGCAGAGCTCAGATACCACCTGAGCTGCAAGTGGCTCAACTTGAGCTGCTCACTCCCAGCTGAAAGGTGGGGAGAAACCCTTGGTTAGGGTCTTGTAAGTTCACACTGTACCACTGTTTAACACTAGGACTGAACAACCTGTGGGTTAGCTTTCCAGAATGATGTCCACTCTTCATAATGATGCTGCATAAAAAAAGAAGGTCCCTGGCCCCTCAGGCTCTACATGGCTGCTGGCCCTCATTAGTCGGCCGGCATCTGCGATGCCAGACCCTACCGGGGGGATGTGGAGACGGTGGTCAGCAAGACAGCTTTCTTCCTGACTTCATGGAACCTGCAGTCTGGGGACTGGCATTTTCCTAACACATGGTAAGTGAAGGACAGGTGTCAGGGAAGCTAGAACATCATCAAGCCCTGGTGAAGCTGAGACCAGAGGAAAGTAGGCTCTTTTGGGGGTGATCCGACCAACCAGGACTGCCATTGAGAGCCCCTATGAGGCCCTGCTTGGAGTTAGAAATAGGAGTTTCTTCTGCCAAGGGTGCAGCGCCTATGGGGAGCCCAGCAGGAGGGAATAGGGAGCTGGATTTCCCCTCCCTCAGTCCCCTTGCTGCACCCTGTGGAGGGCATGAGCCTCACAAACGCAGCTGGGAAGAGCTGAGACCCCCATGGGCATGGGGCCTTGACTGCTGGGAAGCGGCATGAGGGAGTCCCCTCAGCACAATGGGTTGGATGGTGTAGACACTTGGCCCAAGCTGGCCAGCCCAGTTTCCTCTCCCAGGAGCACAGAGCTGTGATTCAAACCACTTCAGGGCCTCAAGGCTTCTCTGCCTACAACTGAGAACCTTGTACATGGGAGTGTGGGTAGCAGGAGACAAAGGAGCAGAGGGAACTACAGTTGATAAAACAGAGTCAGGAAGAGAAGTGGAGGTGAGAGACCTGTTAGCTCTAGAGGAATTTGAGATGTGGCTGCCCACAGGGGACAGGAGTGGCTGGGAAGGTCCCTTGAGCTGTGTGTCCTTCTCTTGGGGTCTGTGTATTTTAAATGAATTCTGCTTGATAGCTGAAATGAAAATTTATGCCCAAATAACTATACGAGGGGCAGTTAGGCAAGCAGAGTGGGCAAGGCAGATGGAGCTCAAGGAGGTCATGGGCTGGTGCACACAAATTATATTAGAGATATATATGTCTACCCCCTTTTCCCTTGCCCAGCCTCCCCAGGGTTTTTTTTCTGGGCCTCTTGATTTCAATTGAACTCCAAGGAAAGACCATTCAGGCCTGTACCTGCTGCCCTGTTAGGATTGATAAGTGATTTCAGAGGCATCCCCTACTACCCTCCCCCATAAAAGGTACACAGATTCATTTTAAGGCCTAGAAGCTCTTCCCACCTTGAAGGGACCCACCAGCACTAACCCAACTTGCCCAACATCAGCTGTGAGATAACTGGACCACAGTCAGCTGGTGAGGAGCTTGAGCCCAGCTCCAGGTGGAGGGGTGATAGGGTCTGCTTCACAGGCTGTGCATCCCATGAGAAAAACAAACAGGGACAATGCAGTTGTAGGTACATCCATCCCTGGGGCACCCCCTGCGGGCTGTAAGCTCCACCATGTCTTATTGGGGATGGAGGGTTTTGTTTCCAAAGCCTTGAAGAGTGCTTGTCTTAGTGGGGCTTAATAAACTTTTGATGAGCAACTGATGTCCTCAGGTTGAGAGGCATCAACAGGCCATAGAGATGCAGCCACTGGGCAAGCCACAGCCAAGCCCTGGTGTTCCTACCTGACGCTGGAGCTACTCTTGAATTTCAAATAAGTTGCTCTGCTAAGTTTACAAAAGTTAACATTAATTTTAGAGGAAATGAGTTTCATCTAACTCTTGGCCCATGAAACTAAACAGAAACAAAGCAGAGTGAAGCCTAGACGAAGCCTCTTACACTGCGGCCCTTCTGTTATTCTTGTAAATAGAGCAGGAGAGAGGAGTGGCAAGAAGTGCTTATGGACTGGGTGGCTGAACAGAAGGGGCCCTGGACTTGTAGTGAAAGTGGGTATCTGCCCTTTGCTGTAATATCCATCCCCAGTTAAATCTCAGTCACATCACACAAAGGTTGTCCACATTCTCCTGCTCTCTCTTATCATTTTGAACCCACTCCAATCAGAATTCGACCCTACCACTCACTCCACTAGAACTACTCTTTGCCAAGGCCATCACTAAGCCCTGGGGGGAAATCCAATAGTCAGTTATCAATTTCCGCCCCACTGTCTCTCAGCACCTTTGGGTCATTGGTCAGCATCCTTGAAACACATTTTCTGGTTGGCTCTCAGGACCACTCCTGGCTGTTTCTTTGGCTTCATACAGTCTTTTTCTGTATGTTGTTTCCTGCCCATTCTCCAGACATCTAAACAAAAGACGGCACCAGTGCTCAGCCCTCAGTTGCTCTTCTCTAGCTCCAGGTGGACTCATTCACTCCCTTCGCCTTGAACACCATGTAAAAGCTAAGGAATCCAGAGAGATCTCTCTCTTGGACTCCAGGCTGGTACACCCAGTTCCTCCTCCGAAATTTATCACATACAAAATAAAACACCAAGTTTTCATGTTTCCCCAAACTTCTCATCCTCATTTCTGCAAAAGACAATTCCTTCAAGTTGCTCAAGCTAAAACCTTACAGTCATCTTTGATTTCATTTGTTCTCTCACAACTCCAAGCCAAACCATTAACAAACCCAATTGGTTACCTTCAAAATACATCCAGAACCCAGTCACTTCTCACTGCTACCATCTTGGTCCAAGCCACAGCTCTTTTCCAGTTGAATCACTGCCCTAGCCCCTGAGCTGTCCCACTGTCATGTCCTGGGGTATCCTCTCAACAGCAGCAAGAGTGGCCTGTCATGATGTCCTACAGGGTAACCCTACTCAGACCTTCCAGTGGCCAACAGAAGTTACACTCCCTGGCCCCTGCCACCTATCTGACTTCACCCCCTTCTCTGCACCAGCTGCACTGGCCTCCTCTCCCTTGAACTGGCCAGGCACACTCTTGGCAGAGGTCTTCTACACTAGGTGGTGTCTGCCTAGAAGCCATGTGGTTTACCCCCCTCCCTTCCTTTAGTCTACACTCACCATCACCTTCTGAGAAAAGTCTCTGCAGACTTTCCTGTCCTGCACAGCAGCCCCTCCCCGCTCTGGCATGCTCCGGCTACCTTGTTCTGCTGTTCTCCCTGGCACCACCTGCCATGTTCACTTGTTTGTTGACAACTTCCTCACACAAGAGGGTTAATACTAATGCTGGAAGAAAGGGGCTTGGTTTGTTTTGCTCGCTAGTTTTCCTTTGTGGCTAGCACCCAGAGGGTACTAAAGACATATTTTTTAATGATTGCCCAATAAATTAACAGGATGTTAACACATTGGAACCTTTCTTTGCTCATCTCTCAAGTAAAGATAGCTAAGCTCATCTCACAAGGTTGTACACTTGTTTGCATACTCAAGGTCACACTGATAAGTCATTACTTGGTCCCAAATTCATCTTACTCCAGTGTTCATTTAGCAGGGGTCTCACACACACTGCCCCTTTTCTAGAATACCCTGGGAATCCCCAGAACATGACAAATGATAGTGGTTCTTTTCATGTGAGCCAAGATTAAAGACTCATTCCTCCCACACCACACTCAATGGTGAAAGATTGACAGCTTTTCCTCTAAAATCAGAAGTAAAACAAAGGTGCCCACTCACACCACTCTTATTCAACATAGTACTAGAAGTGTTAGCCAGAGCAATTAGGCAAGTTAAAGAAATAAAATTATCAGGATTGGAAAGGAAGAAGTAAGACTGTCAATATTTGCAGATGATGTGATTTTATATACAGAAAATCCTGAAGACTTCATCCCAAAAAAACTGTTCAATATAATCAATTAATTCATTTATTGGCTTACTCAGTAAAATTGCAGGATACAAAATCAACATTAAAAAAATCAGTAGTGTTTTT